ATATCTGGCTCTTTAGTTGCTAGATGTTCAAATTTCTTTACCGGCTAGTAGTTAGATTTTGGCAGCTGGATAGATACAAGATACAAGGTAGATACTGTTGGCTTACCAGAGTTCATTTGAAAAAGTACCTGCCAACTGTTGCTGTAACTGGGTTGGTTTGATTAGAGCACCAAACCAAACACTAAATGTGCCAATAAACCAAAACAATGAGCTAAAAGAGGCCTAAATGCTCTGTAGAGCTGCAGAATTAGTGTTACCCCCTCCTGGTTTGTCACTGTATGCAGTGCCTTTCACATGTCTGGATTCCTCGTTAAAAGATATTGATGAATTCTTATTAAAAATTGGGGGGGGACTTATCTCCCCTTCTCTTGCCAGAGTCGCAAACTCTCTCAAACACACACACAAAATGACACATACTCATTGCCTCTCACACATCGTCATTATGTCACTCTGCTGCAGACACACACACACTAATCTAATTGTATTTCAGCGGCTCCAGCAGAGTGTGAGTATAAATATTTGATGGGATCAGCGAGGGTGCTGAACGGGTGCTGGGACCCAGTGCCTCCCTTTCAGTCCGCACGTCCAGAGAGCTGGTATGAAAAACTAGCCAGTCTGACCACAAATCTCTGCTTTGGATCAATGACGAGCTGCTTTACACATAAAACACACACTGACACACAACTAAACACACGCACACATACCTCCGCTTACACACACTTTTTTATCCAGCTCTTCCATAGTCTTTGTCACAGTGGTTCATATGGAGAGCAGAAGGGGATTGTCAGGCTTCACAATCACTATTGATCACAGCCCGGAGAGCGTTAGACTTCATCCCCCTCTCTGCTTTCTCGCTTTCTCTCTCCTCTTTCCACATCAGCTCTGCTTCTCTGGGCGACCTTGCCCTTTTCTTCTCTCTTTCTCTCTCTCCTTCTATATCTGCTTCACCTGCTGTATCTTGTAGAGAGTGAGCCTAAGACATCAGCAGCTTTCTGACATACTTACATACACAAAAAATATTGTGTTTTATATTTACCAGTATATTATTAATTACTGTGATACCCAGAATCTAAGCAATGGCTGTAATATAAAACAACTTGGCCTTGTTAATATTAAATAATTATGAATCAATAATTATTATTTAATGAATTATTGGAGTGTAGGATCAGTTTTAGTCAAAGAAAGTGGATTATTTTTTTCTTTCTTTCTCTGACTTTTACTAACAACCATTTCAAGGCCTGGTTTTTCCCATGCAGCCACCCCCTAGTCTTTTCACACAATTCCTTAGAACAAATTTAGATACAGTAGAGTTGGCCCGACGGTGGTAGGTTTAGGTTTAGGTTAGCTCCCTTCAAAATGAACACTTTCGGTTCTGAAAAGGAGCTGCAAAGCAAAGCAAAAAAGACAGACTTTGAAGTGCTCTGAAACTTTTTTGGGGGGATTAAGTAAAAAACAATTGGGTAGGAGATAGCATGCCCAGCATCAGACAGCACAGCATGACAACAAACTGCAGAGATTCAACTCTTGTCAAAGGATAAATGGAAGAAAACAACTACACAATATTGTCACACTAACCATAAATGGCTTGATGTCACACTACAATATACACTATGTTTTACTTAGAGCCAGAACTGTGTAGCTGCTTACCTTCATTTGTGCCCCTGTGATAACATTAAAAGCTCACCTGGAGACCTCATGTAATTAGGAAGGTTGTCTCTGTTGCTAATTCCCAGGTGCAAGTAGTTGTGACGGACAACTTGGATTTCATACAAAAGACCAAGCTGTCACAATACAATTTAATAAACGTAATAACATAAAACAATATAAAAATACTATAAATATGTTTATATTGTAAATATAGCACTGTAGCTACGAATAAGGTACAAAACAGACTATTACTAGGTTTAGTAGATTCAAATATAAATATGGTTATTTACCAAATTACATTCTTTCCTAATTTGCCCAGACATATTATAAAGCTGTGTGGCAGGCACAAACAATCTATTATAAAAACTATTTGGATATTATAAGAATATTCTAGGCTGCCCCATGGGCATGGGGAACCACATCTACTGTATTGCTCCAAACACCAAGGTCATTTGATAACATTACCCCTGTGTAAATTGATTTTTATTCATCAAACCAGTCATTAATTAATTAACTGGGTGAGACCATGGACTTAGAAATTGGGAGTATTTTTCCTCAATGCAACCAATCCCCTAATGATATTTTCAAAGTTCCTAAAGATAGAGAAAGGGGTTCTGCTAGAAACTTTATGTAATACGTTTTGTTGTGATTATCAGTTTTAATAATATTGAATTATTTCATTAAAATCAAGTAGTTTGATTCGGAATGGACGAATGGCTCTAAATACCATGATACCCATGAGCCTGGCTTCCATTGCTATAGAGAATAAATTAGTGAGAGGCGCAAATCAGAGCTGTAGCAAATTCCAAACGCATTGTTGCAGTTTGGGCTAAAACTCAGAGAGATAGTTGCCAAATTCATCCAAAATTACCCAGAATTAAAAAGTAAATTGATTTCAGCTGCATATTGTATTGTCAGATTGTCAAAAGCTTATTATTTTTTCTTCTGCCCACCATTAGTAGCATGGAATAGTATTTTTATCTCTGTCATTGGAATCGTTCTGAAAAGAACGCTGGCAGTCATAGTTGACTTATAACTTCATGCTTTTATGTACATAGGCTGTACCGTAATTTTCTTTATCAAAGAACCAGTTACTTTCTAACACAGTTCATCTTTTGTTCTGATGATTCAACCGGAGAGTTTTATGTCCATCCAATCTATGGAAGTACTCCAACTGTGAGTAATCTAACATCCAACCTGTGAAGAAAATGAATGGGACCTTGATTGTACTGGTACTAACCTTGGTCACAGTGTCAATGATAGAAGAGAAACACCCTTGAGACATGTACGGTATATCCCTAAATCACATGCAGTTCCAAGGTAATACTTGTCCCTTGTGAATATGATTCAATCTAAGCTTTACCTCATGATCAAATAAGGAATGAAAGAAAATGTTAAGACATTGAATTACAACAGTTTAAAGAAGGTAAATGTGTTAGCTTCCCTCTCCTATTAGATTAATGCTGGCTGTTCTTAAACTGATAAGGTTTGCTGATTTTAGTAGCAAAATGCAACCATATTCTCAAGTTACTACTCAGTATCAGCAATGTTTTCACTGAAAACACAGCAGCTTTGTTTGCAGCCATATTGTACAATGTGTTATGTTTGGACTTGTCCAGCCAAGCAGGCTAACAGACTAGAGGTAGCAACAGCTAAACTCCACTGGACTCAAGCCATCTTGCAGATAGTTCTTTATTCAGTGTGATTAGCTGGCAGAAATGGGCCTCTAATAGCTCAGATTATGGGTCTGGGACAATTTCATGCCAGTGTTTACAAATGTAGCACATACAATCATTTTGGAACAAATTATCATCTTTTTTTAGTAGTTTATAGTAGGATCAAAAGCATGTGGGTCTTAAAAACTGTAGTTCCATGTATGGCTCTCATCCTCCCAGGTGGGTTCCTTCTTCATGATCAACCTGTGCCTCGTGGTCATCGCTACCCAGTTCTCAGAGACCAAGCAGAGGGAGCACCAGCTGATGCAGGAGCAGCGAGCGCAGTGTTCTTCCTCCTCCACCCTGGCCAGTGAACCCGGGGACTGCTATGAGGAACTTTTCCAGCTGGTCTGCCACATCCTCCGCAAGGCCAGGAGGCAAACTATTGCACTTTTCAACACCTTGCGGGGCAAACCTCGCGGCTTCCGGGGCGTCGGAAGAGGTAGAGGAGGAGGAGAAGGGAGGGAGAGGAAGGCCAATGGAAGAGGAGGACGTAAGAGAAGAGAAGTGAGGAGGCATGGTACGTAACTGAAAATTTTCAGACAGTAGTATTCAGATGCATGCCTGACACACTGACCCTTTAACACCCTCCATTTGCGCCATTTCAGGTCCACCCTGTCCCCACCATAACAAACCTGACCACGTCTCACCTGCCTCACCCATGGCCCTCACCGCCACCTCTGCCACCGACGGCTGCCCTCAGTGTGCCGCAGCGCTGTCGCTCACTGACGGGGTGGGACCAGTTTGCAGTGCAGCAAACGATGAAGCAGAGGAAGGAGCTGTGGAGGAAACAGACAGGGAGGGGGTAAATTCTGATAATAAGGAGAAGGGCAATAAAGGCCAGGAGGGTACATGGAGACAGGGCTGTAGTCCTAAGAAGCTGTGCAAGGAGCTGTGGCACAACACAAGGTTGAAACTGTGGGGAATCGTGGAGAGCAAGTACTTCAACCGAGGCATCATGATCGCCATACTGATCAACACCATCAGCATGGGCATCGAGCACCACGAGCAGGTACAGACAGCTGTCGCTCTCCTCTGTGTTGCATAACTTTCCTTAAGTTTGAAATACTTTTGGTCCCACTTTTTCTCCTCCTTTATTTACTCATTTTCACTTCTGCAGTGTCAGCCTGTGTCTATTCATCCGTTTAATCAAATGTTTTCAGTGCCACATGTGTTCACATTCACAAAAAGGCATTGTGGCACCCACTGAGTACTCTGCAAGATTGGCTCAATGGCAAATCAAAAGTTGCTTTAAATGTTCATAAAAAGTTTTTCAGAGTTTCTCAAAAAGGTGCAACCTACTGTGATTTTGTGTTGGAATTAAAGAACAAAATTCAACCAAAATCCAAGCCATGACCTTGGTATGAAATAATTATATGCCCGCAATCAGTCCAACAGAAAGACAATAGATTTGCAAGTTGATTTTACGACTCTTATAAGTTTTAGGTGCATTTTGAGTTCCTTAGAAACAGTTACTGATGTTACTTGATGTGGAATACCTTTGTTTAATCAAAATTATTTGCTGTAGCTTTAAATAAAAAAATGTCTTTAAAAGTTTCCTTGTGGCTACATACTGACCAGCAGTCGAACTTCCAATACAATGGTGCAGCTCACTGATTTGTTTTTAATAGTTTATCGAACAATAGAGCTCGTATGGCAGATGAGGAAATCTATAATATCCTATCATCTATCTATCTATCTATCTGGCTGATGAGTGGAAAAATAATGAGATCCAATTAGAAACATTCTTAACTTCTAGTTGAAAGGCAACAGGAACAACAACCTCACAGTGTTTGGAGGGAGATTGCATCCATTAGTGATAATGTTGGAATTAATGTATTGCAGTTGTTGTCTTGTTGTTTGTTACCAACAATGCTGACAATGTAAATGTGTACTAACAATGTAATTTTATGAATAGGGGAATCCATAACAGTTAAAAATAAAGGATTTGTCTGTTTAGTACTCTGTAGATGCACAAGCTGTAGCCTTTCTCTCTGCCTACAGTTAGAGTGAACTGACAACCATGATGCTTGCAGTGAGAATCCACAGTCTCTTTCAGTGTCTCTCCCTGTCACTCAATGTCCACACTCCTCCGCAATGTAAACCTCTCTATATTCTTACTTCCACACGTCCATCTCTCTTTCTTACATGTCTTTTTCTCCTTCTGCCTTTCCAATGCCTGTGTAATGTGATTCCCTAGCCAACAGGGCCACCATAACCTTATCACACATTTAGTTCAGATCACACTCACCAAGCTCCAAGCAAAAAAAAAAGATGCCTCATGCTTTCTTTTAACTACGTCCTATTTCTTTCCGTTTCCTGTCTCTTTCTGTCACTCTGCTTTGTACACTCTTTGTCTTTTTATCAATATTTCTCACTCTTGCTATACCATCGCCCACTCACGCCTGCCACCACCGCAGTGGTGGGTCGTCTCTCATCTCAGGGGCAGCTAAAAATAGAGAGAGGCAGAATGAGAAAGGCAGACGAAGACTTTGCTCTTTTAATGGGGAGGAAATAGCGAGCTGCAGTGTCTGTGGTTCCACCGCCTGTTTAGCAAACTGGAGTCATGCTTCCCTCTGTTTGAACAGTGGTATCGGAGGCTTAATCTGTCTCATCACTCTGATCCTCATCCTGTAGAGAGGAGCTTCCACCTGTCCCACTACACCTGTGGTCTATGGGTCTGTTGGTGTGGGAACAACAGATAACCAGCGTGAGGAAATGCCAGCCAAATGCTTTTTTTTTAAGTTTCTGGGTTGTAGCAGCTATGATGTAGGCCACCACTTTGGCAGGCAACCAGACATAATTTGGAGACTGTACTTAATTCCAAAACAAACCAGTTTGTTTTGGAGAGTGTGTTAGATGTGTTTTGTGATGCCCCCCCCACACTTTTTTAACAAGCACAAATACACATTTTGTAGTAATTAAAATAGAACTACAAAGCAGCTCAACAACAAACTTCATCTGCCTTCTCTCATGCGTGTTTACATATGTTATTAAATATTAAATACTAAAAAACTTTAGTAAATTGGTTGTTTTGACCATGAACTGACTGGTTATGGTTCCCTTTAGGCTTTTCAAAACCAAAAACACAAGACCAAAAGTGTAAGGAATGCATTTTCTGCTCTAACTGCTATGTTTATTTGCTCTAACATAAGATAAAATCGTTAGCATGCCATGCTAACTAGCATTTTTGTCAGTTAGTTAGTTGCAGGTTAGGATAAAAGAGAAAGAAAACCAGGATTAGCATATACACTGTGAAGTATTTCCATTCTGTGTGGAAGTCAGTCCTGGATGCTATCAGAGTTTAGAGTAATGTTAGCATCTCCATCCTGCTCTTTGTTGTACTGGGAAAGTTACAATGCGGCAACCCCGACCAACATTACCCAAGATAGTGATAAGTGTGCAAAACACACTTCATCCTATTAACCTTAACTCTTGTCAAGTTTAAGGTGAAAACATACGATTTGAAAATACAAACAAGTAGCCTATGTATGGTAAGCAGCCAAACAGGGTTATGCCTATGTTTGTCTGTAGCTTTAGCCTTAGTCACAGTCTTTCAGCATAATATCATGTATGTAGCCATCAAGTGCATATTTTTCAAGATTAGCATTTTACAAAATTCCTGTAAAAGAGCTATTTGGGATTATTATTATTATTATTTTAAACTGCATTATGTGCCGAGCCCGAATAGTAAGCATGTGTGATTTCTTTTCATTTACGTTACTACAGTAATTGCTTTTAAAATGAAATGAGATGTTGTAAATGGTAAAAGTTCATATAGCCTAATCAAGATAAAGTCTTAGTTTAAACAGTTTCCATCAGTGTAAATTGCAACTTTAGTTGCTCTCCACATCACAAATATGATCATTATTCTTGGGATGCAGTTGTCACAGCACAGTAATTGTCTTAGAAGGGACGTTAGAAGCTATAGTGGCATTATACTGTATGCATTACTGAAAATACAAAGCTATATCCCCCAAACAAGATGGATTGCTCAAGTGAGAAGACATTTCAGAGAATTGAACAGCTGTTTGGGAATTAATAATGCAACAGCGTGATGGGCATTTTGGAGATTTGACAGGGAGAGATAGAGATCAAACAGCACTGCTAAATTATTGTCTTTCTCTGCCAAAACGTCAAGATTAAGACAGAGGGAAATTACCGCATTGATGGTGCGGGGGCAGCCATTGTTGTAGTCAAAATATTCAAGAACACCCACATGCTTAGTTTCAGATACTTTGGGGTTGATTGTCAAATGCAAATTGATATCACTGCAGAAACTAAACATATTTAGTAATCATGAGAAAAAGTAGGTCAGAGAATTCAAAAACAAAATCATAATTGGGTTTTAGAGGACAATAAATCAATCCACAGAAAACATCTTACAAATGAAAGCAATACACAAGGATTGGAATTTAGCAGTTATTGAAACCCTGCATCTAAAAAGTATGCTGTGAATAAAAGCAACTTTTCAACCCTACATAAGGATTGTGGAAGAATCCATAGCCAGCGGGACAATGTTAATAAGACATTATCTGCATTAACCAAAGTAGCTGAAACATAAAAATCAGTTTTTTTTAGAATTGAGGCAAAGATATATATTAGAAGAATTTGGTTTGTTATGATTTCCATTATCACATTACTGCTACTGTATTTATACATGGTACTATAGCAGTGGCTTTGGGTTGTTAACTATCACAGGAATGTTACATTAGACAGGTGAAAAGGTGTGGCACTAACAGGGGGCAGACTCACTGTGCATCAGATGCTAAAAGCATTGGAGTAGTGAAAAGGTTTAAAAGGTTGAGCTCATTGCAAAAAAAGTTAAGTTGATAAAATTGCCCACATATGGGATCATCACATCACAGGCCCTGTTACTAAACAACAAAATATTCTTGTCACTTTCCAAAATTACCTTATTACAAAGAGGATTTGTGCGAGAGTTTCCTGATCTGCTTTTTAGTTTTAAACAACTAACTACTTGGTTGCAAATGCGAACAGTGGGGTCTGGTTTCAAAGTCACACACATTGTACATGGAAATACCCAACACAATGTCATGCAATTGTGTGCACATAGTGGACTTGTGGTACAGACAGAAATAGGTAGTGTACAATAGTCAATTTGATGAAAGTACTTATTTTCTGGAGAGTCTCAGGTTTACAGGAAACAATTTTTTTAGCTGTATAGAGCTGAAACAATTAATAATTTGAAAGAAATTTACTAAGGGTAAGTAAGTCGGAATTCCCCTGCCAGGAACAAAAATGAACACATTGTGTTTTAGTTTAAACAAACGACCAGTGCTGTTGTTTTTCTGGTTGCAATTCAGAATTTACATAAGCTAACCTAAAAATATCAGTGAAGTGTGATACCAATCAGATCAGAGCAGAACAAGTGACCACACTTATGCTATATTACAGTTGCTGATTAATGAAAGATTTCAAATGTGCTGCTCAGACAGAAAAAGCTACTTGCTACGCAGAATCTGCATCAGCATTTTATAAACCATACCAATGCTAATTTTGTGTCAGCCAAATTACTCTTGATAGGCATTAATGGGTGATCGATGCACAGCAATGAGTAAGTCACCCATGTGTGTAGAGGCTGGTTTTCAGGGCAACATTGCTTTTTCAGATATTTGAACATTTTTAGGTTTTGTTTCACATCAGGCAATTTTTCTTTTTTCATTTTATTTCACATACTGCTAACTTTCCTAAATCAAATGTAAGTCCTCAATGTGATATCATATGTCCACTCTTGTTAGTTTATTCCATACATCAGCCACCCGGAAAATGCAAGTCTTTAGATCTGGTCCCAGATCTGCAGTAATGATACTGCAGTAATGGATCTCCAGGGGCTGCCGACACCGTTTGGCTGGTCTGCAAACAGCGGTCAGCCGTCACATCGTTACTGACAGTGGTGGGCATGCATCATTAGCCCCTGTTTTCACACAGCTAAACACTCATTAGGACTGACAAACACACACACATGCAGCAGTACAAATAGACACACACATGCACGCAGATAGACATGCAAAACGCACTGTGCTCATTGATTCTGGGGCGTTGAAATGTCAGAAGCGTCATTGCTGAAGTTACAGAGGATCTCTGTGGAATAGTGATGTGTTGGAAATTGTGATTGTGCCAAATTTATCTCTTTGTGTGTGTGTGTGTGTTCTTTCTGACATTGAGCAAAGCCAGACAGGAACAGAAAGATGGGAACTCAAATAGCGTCAGAGACAACTGAAAAGACAGCCATTGATACACATTGACAAAGTGAGACAGAAAGTAAAATAAACTGACTACAGACTGTGAAGTGGACTTACTGGCAGTGTTCAAGTGCTAATGTTATCGTTCTCACAGTAATTAACAATTGCTTTGCTGGTGTACCTTTCAGGACTAACTCCAGGACTACCCGCACAAACCTTGGGAGCAAAAATGTTTTTCAGTTGGTCTCCAAGGTGGAAGGAGTAAAATGTTGGACCTTTTTTACGGCAGCATATGCAACATCCATAATTGATGACAAAATGTGTTGTTTGCCAGCTACATGCTGCTGTGTTGGAAAGGAGTGGATTGTAGGGATGTGGACATGGAGAGCAGACAATATTTGAACAATGTACCAGCTATTTTACTGCTTGTCAGCGTATTTGTCTGTAAACTGGCAGCTAACCAGTGCAGTGTCCTAGTACTTTTGTATCCTGGCATCAATGCATCCGCATGTGCAATTGTGTGTAAAAGCTTTTTTGCTTGTCCTTGCCCTTTCCACCATTCAATCCGTGGTGAGTAACATGGCTGATAACTATACAAAGTGACGAGGAAACAAAAGAAAGAATACATCAATAACTGAACAATGTGGCTTATTTTTTGGCAGAAATATAGTTTAACACTCTAGTCCTACTGCACGTGTGTATCGTGCGTGTGAGATTGACACTAGATGACAGCCTTATTTCCTCTGAGTATTGATTGACTGCTTGTTATTTGTGGATGTATGACAAAAGGACCATGATGTTCCTGCAGATTATGTCCACACTCACATTTTATTGTCCCCTTCTTTGCTTTACTGCTTCCTATTTCCTCTCCTATGAACTTGTTACTCATAATTCATTTGGACCTCATTTGCTTTCCATTACGTTCCTTCTGTCAGCTTTCTGCATTCACTTTTTTGTCAAATTTTTCTAATTTAGCTTCGTTCCTAATTATTATCATCTATGCCAGTGCTTAAAAGCATGACTGTACAGGATGACAAACTGAGCAAGTGATTTGTCATCTAACGGCACCAGTGGGTCAAATTTTCACTTGGCCAAACAAATTGTAAGACAAAATGTTAGCAAGTTCACATACTATCTCTATACATTCTAACATGCTAATGTTAGCCTGTAATTGTGTTAACATACCAGGATTTTAAATGTTAGCTAACATGCTCACAGTTAATATGTAACATACTGTAACATTTAGCCTTTAGCAAGAAACACTCCAGCACTTAATGCAAACAAGAAATGTTGCTAACATAGCATGATAACTTGCATGTTGACATGGCATGCTATAATTCAGCTATAGGCTGCCAAAGTTCAGCTCAGACAGATGAAAGTTGAGCCAAGTCAGCATAGAGCTGACCTCGACAAATTTCAGTCAAAACCCGCCTTAGCCACCATGCAAGTGATAAATGATTTCAATGAACAATGAAACAGCATGTTTGCATTTTTAGACTGTAACTTGCACCCTTCTTTACCTTCACTTCCCTCTCTCTTGTCTCTTCTATCATTTGTCTCTTCTTTTAATTGCCTGATGTCACTCTGTCAGCCAGAGGAGCTCACTAATGTTCTCGAGATCTGCAACATCGTCTTCACCAGCATGTTCTCCTTGGAGATGATCCTCAAAGTCACTGCATTTGGCTCCTTCAGCTACCTGAGAAACCCCTACAATGTCTTTGATGGAGTCATTGTCATCATAAGGTAAGGTACATCATATAAATACCCTAAATATACATAATTTTGTCAGAAAGAGTGAAAAAAGAGAGAAGCGGCTTTTGGAGGACAAAAATAGAATGTTTCTGAAAATTTGACTGATGTAATTAAGACACACTTTTTTGGTTTGCCAGACTGTTTTGGAGAGAGATCCTGCAGTTAAATTATTCATGTCACGCTTTGTCAAATTGTCATCTGTGTTCTACATTGGTTGAAATGTACCACCTGTATGTATTTGGATGCCAAAGCGTCAGACAGTAGCAAACAGGTTTTGTCTTTTGTTGTGTGTGCCTGGAGCTTCAGGTGAGTGGCTTTGCCTTTGATCTGTTAGCATTTTTTCCAATTCATCTGGCTGAGCGCCTTTGTCTGTGATCCCCATTATAATCCTGAGATCAAATACACATCAAAGCAACTAAAACTGAACAAGATCAAATGTGAAGCCCGTCACAGAAGATACATGTTGATTGAACATATCTACATCTGTCTTCTTATTTCTCGCTCTACTACCAATTGCCCTCTCTTCATCTATCTGAATGTCGTCAGCTATTCATACAGATCTGCTCTGTAAAAGTGCCCCTATTCAATCTTTGCCACTCCAGAGATTATGCTATTTTGATGCGCTGAGTGGAGCCTTTGATAGGCACCTCCATTAGGAACGATAAAACGTCTGTGATCCCTCATGGCTGTTGTTCTGCAGTGGCAAACAGCAATTAAGAAAGTCATTAAGTATTTAAGCAAGAGCTTGATTTATAATGTCCAAAACTTAAGTGGACACATTAATTACTGCAAGATAAGATAAACCAAGAATTCCGTATGTTGTCGAATAATTTGTGAGGTATTCAGCTCATTTAAATCTGTCAGAAAAAGAAAAAATAGACTTAAAACTATTGTGATTTACTTTTGCATTCAAGCCATAAAAGGGCCTAATGAAGAACATTAAAACAAATGACTTTCCAGTACAGATATGAATGTATGCAATTATCTGTCTGGCTGCAAATAATGAGTTTAAATAAAATCAGCACTTCACATTCGACAGTGTTTAATGATCTTTTCCTCTTTATCATAAATATTGTTTAATTATGGAGGAACCAAGATTTCAACTTTAATGTCATCAGTCAGCATTATTATTTGTTTTTTATTATTTACTCTGGTATTACAGATTACATGTTAGCCAACCAGTAGGACCACTGCCAAAACATATTTGTCTTTCTTCAATTGTAATTTGTAGTCAGTTTGAAGATGTTCTTTATGTTGGAGGCACTCTTTTTTTTCAGCGGGCTGTTGCTGCTCAGGCTAACCACTTCTTTCTCTGTAGTTTCGCAACAAATTTCTTCTACTAGTAAAACAAATCTACGCATCAGAATCTGCAACTTGCATCCAGTGCCAACGCATGAACTAGTGAGCCTTATGTAGCAGTGTGGATTGCAAGGGTGTGGAGTATAGATAGATCGATTAACTGGCCGCTGCCGTCCAACAAGGCAGCAGAAACAAAAAAAACTCTTCTCTGTGTTTGCTGCGGAACAGTGTTAAAGATCCCCATTGTTAGTTTGGGAAGCGCTGGCGGAAAAACAGTTTCCAGCCCTGTACTCATATCTCCATAAACCTTCACCTATGAACATGTAGCAGATACACCCAACTATGCTTCTGTTTTTCTTGTTCATTAATGAATAAAAATTCCATCTAGAACATCATGTTACTGGCTAAAATAACCGTTACATTGTAATTGTACTGTAATCTGCGAGGAATAATGGAATCATATATGACTTTGTTTTGATATCAGTAAGGCCATCAGTCACCCTGCTCTCTAAATATCGGCATCAGCCATTGAAAACCCATATCGGGATCAGGATGGTGGATGGGCATGTCCCATCACAGAATAAACAATAACCTTTTTTTAACCAAATAACTGTCAAACCCTAACCATGTTTTATTGAATAATGATACTAATGTTATTGTGTGGTGGTAGGTTGGGAAACTGTAACACCTTGAAGCAAATTTAAAACCTCTCTACTCAGCTGAACCTCTGTTGAATCTC